TGTATTTCTCTCTTTCTTCCCTGTTCATTTATCCTCTCTCCTTTCCCTTTCCTTACCCGTCTCTCCTCTATTGATTTCTATCTATCTAATCTCTTCTCTCTCTCTCTCTCTCTCTCTCTCTCTCTCTCTCTCTCTTCTCTCTCTCTCTCTCTCTCTCTTCTCTCTCTCCTCTCTCTCCTCTCTCCTTCTCTCTATCTCTTTCTATCTATTTATCTATCTATCTGTGTACCTACTTACCTATCTACCTCTCCTTACCTCCCTCTATCTATCCTCTATCTCTCTCCTTCCCTCTATCCACCTATCTCCCTCTCCCTCTATCTATCCATCTATCCATCAACGTCTCACCTCTCTTAAACCTACCTACCTCTACCTACCTCTATCTATCCATCTCCCTCCTTCCTCCCTCTATTCATCTATCTCCCTCCCTCCCTCTATCTATCCATGTATCTCCCTCACTCCCTCTATCCATCTAGCTCCCTCTTCCTCCTCTATCCCTCCCTCCGCTTATCCATCTCTCTCCTCCCTACCTCTATCTATCCAATCCATCTATCTCCCTCCCTCCCTCCCTTATCCATCTCTCTCCCTCCCTCCCTCCCTATCCCTCCTTCCCTCCCTCCTCCTCCCTCTATCTATTTCCCTCCCTCCTATCCATCCCCTTATCCCAACCCCCCTCCTCCCTCCCTCCCTCCCCTCCCTCCCTCTATCCACCCCCCTCCTCCTCTATCTATCCATCTATCCATCAACCTCTGACCTCTCTTGCCGCCCACAGCTCAACGAAATGAGCAACAACGGGGACCTGTGGGCGTTACAGGAGGGCGGGCACACAGTCGGACAGTACATCTGCCAGTATCTCGCTGACCATTATTTCTTTTCTATAAACAACCATAAGGTGGGTGGTTAAGTTTTTTTGTGTTTTTTGAAGTTTTTGTTTCGTGTTTTTGTTTTTTTTTGTTGTTGTTGTTTTAAGTGTTTTTTAAAGTTTCGTTGTTTTAAGTGTTTTTTTGTTGTTGTTTTAAGTGTTTTTTTTAAGTTTCGTTTTTAAGTGTTTTTTTTAAGTTTCGTTTTTTGTTTTTTTTTAAGTTTCGTTGTTTTAAGTGTTTTTTAAGTTTCGTTGTTTTAAGTTTTTTTTTCGTTGTTTTAAGTGTTTTTTTTAAGTTCGTTGTTTTAAGTGTTTTTTTAAGTTTCGTTGTTTTAAGTGTTTTTTTTTAAGTTTCGTTGTTTTAAGTGTTTTTTTTAAGTTTCGTTGTTTTAAGTGTTTTTTAAGTTTTTTTAAGTGTTTTTTTTTAAAAGTTTCGTTGTTTTAAGTTTTTTTTTTTAAGTTTCGTTGTTTTAAGTGTTTTTTTTTTTGTTTTCGTTGTTTTAAGTGTTTTTTTTTTTTTTTCGTTGTTTTAAGTGTTTTTTTTTTAGTTTCGTTGTTTTAAGTGTTTTTTTTTTTTAAGTTTCGTTGTTTTAATGTTTTTTGGTTTCGTTGTTGTTGGTGTTGATGTTGTTGTTGTTGTTGTTTTAGTTGTTGGTTATGTTTTGTTTGTTGGTATTGGTATCTTCGTCAGTTTTGTTGTTATTGGTATTTTTATTGTTGTCGTTATTATTACCATTATTATCATCATCGGTAGCATCATTACCGTACTCATCACCATCATCGCCATAATCACCATCATCATTATCCTCACCACCACTGCTACCACCATCAACATCACCACAATCACCATCATCACCACTTTCAACATCATCCCCATCACAGCAACCACGATCGCCATCACAATCACCACCACCATCAACACCTTCCACCACCATCAAAACACCTTCATCATCACCACCATCAACACCTTCAACATCATCACCACCACCATCAACACTACTTTCATCATCACACCTTCAAACATCACCATCACCACCACATCCACACCTTTCAACATCACCACCACCATCAAACACTACTTTCATCATCACCACCTTCAACATCACCACCACCATCACCACCATCCACACCTTAACATCACCACCACCATCCACATTTTCAACACCATCACCACCTTTAACATCACCACCACCATACCTCAACATCATCACCACCACCAACACCATCACCACCACAACACCATCCACACCTTCAACATCATCACCACCACCCCATCAACACCACCACAATCACCACCACCATAAAAATCCATCACTATCTTTACAGGTCTACGGTTACAACGAGGTGTGTGGTGGTGCCTGGGAATTCACAGGCGTGGAATCACAGCAGATGTTGTGTTGTGATAGAGGAGACCATGTGCACTGTATATCCGAATAAATGATGGTGATTGATGGTGACAAAGGGTGATGATGGTGATGATGATGATGAAGGGTGATGATCTACGTAGCGATGATGGTGGCGATGGTGATGATTCTCTGCTGAAACATCATCACTTTTTTTTTTTTTTTTTTTTTTTGCGATGTGTTCGGAAATTGAGTTTCTGATTGTTTGTAATTTTTGCGAATAAAAGTTGTGAATATGGATTTAGTTTTAATTATTGGCTTGGATTAAAGTCCTCTATAGGTTTAACAAGAAGCAAGGAGTCTTTAAACATTATTTATTGAGAGATAGAGATGAATTATCCTGTTTTCATATATTAATTTTCATAAGATTATGATAGTCATGGAATAAATAAACTTCATACAAAAGTATTTAATGCAGACGAATTCATGGAAATAACAAAAGACTGGGAAACTAACTACAAAAAGTAATGTGTTTATTATTCCTTCTATGAAATTGGTAAACAGAGAAATTGATATTAGCAAAAAGATGAGAAAAAATACCCGCAGGCAACACAGAAAACGTTGGAGGGTAAACTAATGTAAATCAAACCTTGCGTTATGTGTTACTTGTTTTACATCTATTGTGATTTCATTTCATGGTAAATCATCAAGTTTCTATCTATCTATTTCTTATATTGCTCTCTTACACAGTATACCTAATCAGTCATTAGAGAAAAAATAATAATGACTAAAAGATAAAGAGAAAAAGAAGAAAACAATAAAATAAAAAGAAACTGTTTCTTGTAATGTTATTTTTTCTCGTAAACATTATTATCCTGCTATATAAAGATAAAAATAATTCATAATGCAATGCAGTTATTTTTATGATCTGGAACAAAAGTCACAACAATAATTGAAAAAAGAAAACCGGTTTAAGAACTTCAAACAATGAGAAAACACCATGTTTATAGTATCATTTCCTGGACACTTTGAGCACGAAACTGAACAGCTAATAATAAAAGTCACTTCAGCGTAGTATAGAGGAACCGTGATTTTTTTTTTTTTTTTTTTTTTTTGTCGCTTTGTCCTCTCATATTTCTCTTTTTATTAATTTAAACATTTCATATTTCTCTATCCCTCCCTTAGTCTCCTTATATGTCTGTCTGTCTATTTATCTATCTGTCTGTCTGTATGACTGTCTTTTTGTCCATTTATGTATCTGTCTGTCTATATGACTGTCTCTCTCTTTCTCTCTCTCTCTATCTATCCATCTATCTATCTATATATCTATCTGTCTATCTATCTCTCTATCTCTCTATCATATATATGTATATATGTGTGTGTGTATGTGTGTGTATGCACACACACACACGTATACATACATACATATATATATATATATATATATATATATATATATATATATACATATATATATACATATATATATATATATATATATATATATATATATATATATATATATATATATACATACATATACATATATATATATATATATATATATATATATATATATATATATATATATATGTGTGTGTGTGTGTGTGTGTGTTGTGTGTGTGTGTGTGTGTGTGTGTGTGTGTGTGTGTGTGTGTGTGTGTGTGTTGTGCGTGCGTGTATCCTTCCCTGTCTCTCCCCATCTCTCTCTAACCGTCTATCTCTTCCTCACTCCTCTCTCTCTCCTTCCCCTCCTCCCTATTTTCAATCTCCAGAAAGAACTGGCTACCCAAGAAGACAACTACAGCTCTCTTCCGTTTTTATAAGAACGTGTAAAAACGTACTCGATCAGAGCCTACAAAACTGGGTATCTTGTTATAGGCCTATTCCATTAAGGCGATCACTGTTCAGGTTAGTGGACATCAGTTTGATATTAGGTTAATAATAGAACGAGAGGATAACAAGTTGAACAAAGGTAGATATATACGATATGAAAGCCAGTTGAACATCTGTTGAACATATGAAAACGAACTCTATTCTTATTGTCCTGCTAACTGAACATCGGCTGAACACGAATTGAACTTCATCTAATCCAGAATTTTGTATCTGGCAGTATTTTTCATTGGGCTTTTTAATCTACACATTACTTAATTTGTATGGCTGTTAGAGCAGGGGTTCCTAACCTGGGAACTTTATTTTCCGGGTCACATGGGGCAATATGAATATCATTACCTAATTAAACTGGATTTTGTCTCACTCCAGTAACACCAACACCACATTGCAGTTATTACTGATGCTTTTTTCCTCCTATACTGTATGGAGGTATAATGCATTATATTAACTGCAGATTTTTAAAAACCAAAGGATACTTCGCCGAATTTTAAAAAAAAAAAAAAAAAAAAAAAGTTTTGAAGTCAATTTTCATGTATTTTTTTCTAATGCACAGGTAATCACCTCTTGCATGTAAATGAATTGGAATCTTTGCTTATAGTGCTCTTGTCCTATTGCTATTGACACCATTACACTATTCATAACTAGTAATAACTGAAAAGACGACAGACACTAAACGGCGCCATGGAGATTACTATAAATAGATCGGGGGTCAAAGAATAGTATAAAGCGGGACCAATGTGTTAGAAGAACGAGAAGTTATACTCAAATATTTTAATCTATGCAATAAGAAATAAATATATGTTACCATCCTTTCTAAAAAATATATAAGAAGTGAATCCCCTTTATCTCCTGACGATGCAGTGCTCGTGTTTGCCTCCTTCGCAACACAACAGCTGTTGCGACGCGAACTCCGTGTACTCCCAGGGGCCGCCACACACCTCGTAGTACCCGTACACCTGCAGGAGCGAGAATTTAATCACCAACACAGGTAAGCAGGTAAGGCGGGAGAGAATTTAATCATCAACACAGGTAAGCAGGTAAGGCGGGAGAGAATTTAATCATCAACACAGGTAAGCAGGTAAGGCGGGAGAGAATTCAATCATCAACACAGGTAAGCAGGTAAGGCGGGAGAGAATTCAATCATCAACACGAGCAGGTAAGACACGCCTACTTTCATCACTCAAGCAAAGAAGAAATCGCAATCACAACCCTTCTTTTTGGTTGGTATTTGCAACAATAGATGGCGCTGTTACCCTGTGGTTGGCGATCCAGAAGACGAAGCGATCGGCGAGGCGGGAGCAGATGGTCTGGCCGACGGTGACGCCGCTCTCCTGCAGCAGCCACAGGTCGCCATTGTTGCTGAGGGTGTTCAGCTGCAACACAGACACGCGGTTTTATACGCCTTTACGTTTTGGTTTGATTTAATGCTGTTTTAAATGGTGTTTAACTTTTTTTTTGGAATCCTGTACTAGGTTTTAATGAAAATTTGAAAGCGATCTGAGACAATCTAGGCCTAACACTGATTTCAATTCGTCACTCTTATACAGTTTAGATCAAAATGACACGCATGTGAATATAACTAGATATAATATTTTTCTCTGGAAAAGAAATCATAAAACATGACATACACGCACACATATATGAATATATATACATACATACATACATGTATGTATATATATATATATGTATTATATATATATATATTACAAAATTATACGTATGTGTGTATATATATACATATGCATATATAACACATATGTATATATATACACAATTACCATACACCTATATATATATATATATATATATATATATATATATATATATATACATGTATACACATATAAAAACCCACCTCGTGACACAGCCTCCTTGCACCGCCCGGCGTCGTCTTCGCAGGAGTCGATGATGACCTTCGGGGCCTCGTACACCATGACCTCCGAGTGCTTGTAGGTGACGAAGGCGGCGCAGCGGCAAAAGGGCTCCGTCTGGGCGCTGCGGAAGGGGGAAGAGCAAGTAAAGATGAATAAAGGAATAAAGGAATAGACATGCACAAAGTGGAACCAAAATGAATAAAGGAATAAATGAATAGATATGCATAAATATATAAATAAATAAATGAATAGATATGGAGAAGGGAAGAGCAAGAAAAATGAATAAAGGAATAAATGAATAGATATGCATAAATATATAAATAAATAAATGAATAGATATGCAGAAGGGGGAAGAGCAAGTAAAATTAATAAATGAATAAATGAATAGATATGCAGAAGGGGAAGAGCAAGTAAAAATTAATAAATGAATAATATGCATAAATAAGTATGCATGACGGGAACCACCATAGGAATGCAATGGTGGTCAGCGTTGTGTGAATAATTAGCGTGAAAGGAAATAAACATAACTCCTTATCGACGTAGAAAGGAACGCTGTCTTCAGAAAGGATTGCTCTCTATTGGTCCAAAATGGAGACTGAGGTAATGAGGCTTTTTACGGGGAAAGATCTTCCACAGTTCCATTGATCAGACTTTCAAGCTTTCCTAGTTTCTATGCTGGACGAATCGTTAGAAGAATTTTACCTTTGAATGGCCTTCAGGTAATTTTATTTACTGAATGTTGGGAATTTCAATATTTTATTTTTTTTCTTTTTCATATCATTTATCTCGTCTTATCATCATTCTGGTCAGTTCAAGTTGATGAAAAGATGAATAATTCATAAAAAAAATAAAATCTGCAAATATAAGATTTTGCAATTGACAACAGATATTACGTTATGTGAATCTAGACATTACCTGCATCTGAAGAAAAGCTTTGCGTCGCCCTGTCTGTCTGCCATATACAAACGGCTTCTTCATGTCACGGTCAAAAGTCTTATCAAACCTGTTTCGAATTCCGTTCCGAACATCCGCTTCATCCCACACTTTTTGTATAGGACAAGACAGATTCGAAGCTTCAATTCAAGACATGACTTCTGTCGATTCGCTATACACCACTATACACTGGGGATAGGAGAGCTTATTTTTTTGAATAGTAACACAACAGAGTGAGGCTGTGGTAGCCATCTTGGTATGGACCGTACTCAAGACAGTTTCACCGAGACCCAACTGCCGGTTCCGACGAAAATCTCGCAAGTGTTAATCTTACTGTTAATTGTACTGACTAACGACTACAAGTACAAAACTTCGTTGGGTATTATATGTGGAATATGTATACGTATCTGTCACTATATCCTAGTCAATGTTCTTCATCAGGCACTATGCGATATTTGTGGAGTACTTCTCACCAGAGAAAATGTTCTTGGGTGCAATCCTTTATTTGACGCTGAATAACACGCACATCAAAAATAAACACACAGCAAAGACAAGAGGAGCAAATGTAGAAAAGGTATGAATGAGAATGAATATC